TCTAACCCATGAAGAGGGATTGTCGCTTAGCGACGATGCTGCCTTGGCTCTGGTGAGAATATTTCTAACCCCAAGAAGTAGAAGGGGAAACCTAGAGCAAGGGACAAAGACAATGTTGAAGCCTGAAGAGTCGCCACATTGGGCGAAGGAGCCAATTTTGGCGAGAAGGGCAGTCGGAAGAGTCGCCTCATCGGGCGAAGAAGCCAATTTTGGCAGGAAGGGCGGCGGCAACTTGGTTGGCGAATAGGCCAGTGCGGCACCCAGATTCCGAAGGTAAATCTCTGCAAAAGGTTGATAAGTTTAAGTTAGGGTTTATGTGAAGGATGAAGGTTGATTGGGAAGAAAATGAGAGAGACTATATTGGTCAAGGGTAAAACCAATTTGGTTGGAAAAGGTGAGGTTGTATGTACAGAGTATGACGAAAGATGATTTGGAGGTCAATAGGGTGGAGCCGAAGAGTAATCAATCGGCTCCGACTACAGCAGCCATGAAGACTGCCCCTGCGGCGTCAAAACCAGCAGGGGTGGTGGAGAAGAAGATTAAAGGATTCAAAAGCCATTGAAAAGAAAGGATCAGGGTTGTTAAACCGAAAGAGCTCTGATACCATGTTAGACGAACACGACTCTCCATTGGTTTGAGGCCTTTTTTGGGAAGCCCAAAGCAAAGCCATGAGAGCTTATGCTCAAAGTGGACAATATCATACCATTGTGGAGAGTCGTGTTCGTCTAACAAACGAAACATTCTTGAAGTGTGTGGAAACCTCTCCCTAGCAGACGCGTTTTAAAATTCTTGAAGGGAAGCCCAAAAAGGAAAGTTCAAAGAGGACAGTATCTGCCCAGCGGTGTGATTGGGTTGTTACATTTAGTGTATCATGATTTCAAGAGGATCCTTTTAATTGATACTTTCAAGCATATATGTCTATGGTTTTTTTCTTCTCCAGGTGGCTTGTTTTCCTTTTGATGACCATAACTGTCCCCCAGTTCAACTCATAATATCATTTTGCCGAAGTGCTTATTCATGGCTGAAGGATGATATTGAAAATGTAGTGGTTGTGCATTGCAAGGCAGGAATGGCCAGGACCGGCTTGATGATTTCCAGTCTTCTTCTGTTTCTGAAGGTTCGGGTTTATTGTCTTGATCTGAAAATTTGTGGAAGTTGTCAAAAATGTTCCTTAAGGTTTGGGTTTCACTTGCTTCGTTTGCAGTTCTTTCCAACCTCTGATGAATCCATCGAATACTACAACCAGAGAAGGTGTTTCGATGGCAAGGGCCTGGTTTTACCAAGTCAGATTGTAAGTGAAAATTACCTAAAGAGGATTTTGTATCTGAATTTTTCAAATGCTTCTAAAATAGAATCGTTTTCTATCTTTCTAGAGGTACATCAAGTATTTCGAGCGTATTTTAACATACTTCAATGGAGAAAATCCTCCCAACCGCAGGTATCATTCGTTCTATATAACTCTAATATCCTTCCTATTTCTCAGTTAGTCATGTTTTCCTTTACATGTAGCGTGCTCGAATTAAATTTTCTGCAGGTGCGTGCTTCGAGGGTTTCGTCTCCACCGATGCCCATGTTGGATCAGGCCTTCCATTACGGTATCTGACCATAATGGTATATCTCCAATTCTTCTTTCTACCAAGGAGTTTGCTATTACGATTAATAATTTATGATGTCACATTTGTCCGTTATGTCATTAAACATGTATTGAAACTATTGTTTGGGTTTAGAATATCTAGAATCCAAATATTGCTCTAATTCTTTCCCTAATCTGGCAGGCGTTCTGTTCTCCACTAAAATGCATCCAAGAATCAAGAGTCTCTCGGTATGTATTTGATTAATTTTAAAAGTAGGGGAACTGAGAATGGCCTCACTTGCATACAGTAATGGATCTAGTTTAAGATTTTCGGGACTATCGGTTAAGGATTTTAACGCCTTTCTAGCATCCGAGTTCTAACGTATTTTATATCTGTAGCCAGAAGATTTTTGGTTTACTGCACCAAAGAAGGGGGTAATGGTTTTCGCCTTGCCAGGGGAGCCTGGTCTAGCTGAGTTGTGTGGGGACTTCAAGGTTCATTTTCATGACCGCCAAGGAGACTTTTATTGGTATATGATCTGAATCTCAACTCCCAGACACATCTTCTTGTGCTTCTTTTAAGTAGTGTAAAGGAGTTCAATTGCGTTTACCTGGTCTGTTTTATTTTCAGCTGGCTAAACACAACCATGACCGAAGATCGGAAAATGCTCAACACAAATGATCTTGATGGGTTTGATAAGGTGAGTGAGTACCAAATTTTTGTTGTCTCTTGTAATATGATGACCGGTCGTATTACTATGAGATCTCACATCGGTTGGGGAGGAGAACGAAGCATTCTTTATAAGGGTGTGAAACTTCTCCCTAGAAGACACATTTTAAGGGGCCCGAAGAGGGGGTTGATTGTGAGATCCCACCTCGATTGGAGAGGGGAAACGAGTGCCAATGAGGATGCTGGGCCTTGAAGGGGGTGGATTGCGAGATCTCAGGTTGGGGAGAGGAGAATGAAGCATACTTTATAAAGGTGTGGAAACCTCTCCCTAGTAGAAGCGGACACTTGTTTCCTTCTACAATCGACGTGGGACCCCCAATCCGCCCCTTTCGGGACCCAACATCCTTGCTGGCACACCACCTCGTGTCCACCCCCCTTCAGGGTTCAGCCTCCTCGTTAGTAAATTGCTCGATGTCTGGCTTTGATACCATTTGTAATAGTCCAAGCCAACCCGCTAGTAGATATTGTTTTCTTTGGGCTTTCTCTTTCAGGATTTCCCTCAAAGTTTTTAAAACGCTTGCTGGGGAGAGGTTTTCACACTCTTACCAGGAGTCATTACCAGTTGTTTTAACTTTCTAAAAGAGATGTATTTGGCTTTCTGTAGAGGACACTGCCTTCCCCTGGATTTCAGGTGGAGGTTATTCTAGTAGATACCTCGCCGAACAAGGACAATACTACCAAGAAGTTGGATGAAAGCTCAGGGTCAAAACCTTCTACAGTTCATGAGAGTGAAGTTTCTGAGAACCAAAACAGAAAACCAGGAACTCATGATAAAGATGATGTATTTTCTGATAGTGAATCAGAAGGTGGTTCTTCAAAGAGCAAGGATGCAACTGCAGGATCAGCTATCAAGACGACATCCAAATCTCAAACGACTGCGACTTCATCAGACAACGTTGCAAGTTTATCACATGCAACGAAGCAAGCTTCCTTGAGAGATGGTAGAGCGAAACAGACTGCTCTCACAGAAGTTCCAAACTCGGAAAGTGAATTCAAGGCAATGGCTGCTGATGCTTCTGTTTTCACATTCGGCGATGACGACGAGGAGATCGAGTAAATGACAAGGCACCGTGTTGTTCCCCTCCAAGCTACATAAGACAGCAGTAGTCTGTACATAAGAACCGTGCTGCAGGTGTGCATGGAGATTCATTCATTTGAGTTGTAAATTCAAAGTCTGTCTCAGAAGCTGGTTTATTACAGAAATGAGATTTTAGCATGAAACTGGAAAACATGTAAAAAGAAATGGTTATTTTAGTTCTTTTGAAGATGATACTGTTCTATGAAGTTCAATAAAGCTGGGTTCATAAGACTGTTTGACATCGTTTTTTGAGTCTCTTAGGCTTGTAATTTGCTAAATCAGCTCTGTCTTATTTTGTGTGGAGTGTCGTATTTGAATCTCTTAGGTTGCACTTTCCATTCCGCTTATCGAGAAGCCCGATTCACGCTACTGAAACATAATTTACATATAATTACATACAATGTAAAAATATCCACCCTCTAAACGAACATCAAGTAAATACAACTAGAATAGACTTTAAGTTTTGTTCGGGTAAGATTCCACATCGGTTGGAGAGATGAGTAAAATATTCCTTATAAAGATTTGGAAACCTCTCCCTCGCAAATAGTATTTTAAAATCGTGAAGCTGATTGTGATACGTAACGGGCCAAAACTGACAATATCTACTTGCAGGTGAGCTTGGACGATTATAGATGGTATTAGAGCCAGACATGGGGCTGTGCGCCAACGATGACGCTGACCTCCAAGGCAGTGGATTGTGAGATCCCACATCAGTTGGAGAGGGGAAGAGAGTCTACAAATAGGAGGTTTAATATAACTTTTATACTCATCCTTGTTTTCCTTTCCTTTCCTTTTCACGAGTGTGCAGACTGTCGATCGAAGTAGAATGGGTTGTTCCGAAGCGTCATTCATTTTGGAGTCGGTTCCAAAATATTTAAGCTAATGCTTTTATTTTAATGATGTACTGCACCACCATGAAACAATTAATTTCAAATGCAGCAATTAATATGTTCTAGATGTTAAATTAATTAAAATGAATATAAGAATTCAACACTAGTTTTTGTAAGTCAAATATTGAAAGAGTCAAATGTAAAATAATGAATCTATTTAAATATTAATATTAAAAGTCAATAATTGATTATTAGATGTTATTCCCTAAATCATTAAATTTATTTAAATATTAGTATTTAAAGTAATTTTCCTAATAAACGCCTAATTAATTTAAAATATAAATATTTGATTTAATCCACTCTCCATCATCTGACATAGATTAGAATAGATTAGAATGATTCTTATTTTTTTTTTTAAATATATTTTATTTATAAGATTAAAATTTGATTTTGTCTCGTGATAAAATAAATAAATAAATAAATAGTCATTGACAAGTTAAAATATTAATTTATTAAAATCAAAACAAATTACATAAATTCAAATTTTAAAATTCTAACTCAATATCATAAACGATGTCGTACATAGAGAAACTTTATATCTATACATGTGTACATACATACACAGATACAAATTTTAAATAAATAAAATCGGTTCTAAAAAAGTCAAAATAAACAATCTCATTGACTAAGTCAAAGTCAATGCAAAAATCAAATTACTTGAAGCAACTGACATAATTAAAAAAAAAAAAAGAAGAAATTTATAATTTAATCAAATAAATTTATGAACGAAGTACCTTGAATTGAAGACGTTTCTGGTGAGGTCAATAACCTCGCGTAGCGCCCAACGATTTCTCTTCCTCTTTCCATCTCTGTTTCTTGGAAGAACCCATCCACGCGCCCCAAACGCCGCCTCCTTGTTTCTTATACACGACTTAAAAAGCCCTTTATCTTTCTCGGTTATCTCTTGATTTCGCAGTTTTCTGTTCGTGGGTTACAATACTCTTTTGAATATTCTATTCTGGTTCTGTGATTCGAGGGTTTGAACAAAAGGGGAAGCGTTTTTCAGGAAACAGAACAGGTTCTGATTCTTCTATGTCGACATATACCATTCAGGGCCAACCTCTTGAAGCCACTGGTATGTCTATTTAACTAAGAACCAAGAAGAACAAGTTGATTTCGTTTCTGGGTTTTGATTCTTTTGTGTTTTGATTCAGTTGTTGGATGCACAAAATTGAAAGATACAGAATGGATATCAAGGCAGGATCCGTATGTGTGCCTTGAATATGGGAGTACAAAGTTCCGCACCACCACTTGCACTGGTTTGATCTTGATGATCCTTGTTCTGTTTTTTAGATCTGAGTAGATGATCTTGAACTGAATGTGAAATTTGATTGGGTTTGTGTAGATGGTGGAAGAAATCCCACGTTTCAACAGAAATTTGTGTTCTCTCTAATTGAAGGGCTTAGAGAGATTAATGTTACAGTTTGGAACAGCAACACTGTTACTTATGATGACTTCATTGGCACTGGAAAGTAAGATTCATGTCCTGTCTTGTTCCTTTTGGTTTTTGATGTGTGGCTGCTCAGTTTGGAGTCTACTGTTTTGTAGAATCCAATTAGCAAAAGTTCTATCAGAAGGGTATGATGATAGCTCCTGGTCACTTCAAACTAAAACTGGCAGGTATGGTAGCTTTGACTTGCAAGCAAATTACCATTCATAAACTAGTTTTTGCTCGAGTTTTGTTTGCTTTTAGCTCGTTTTTGTGTAGGACTTGGTTTTAGAACAGTTGAACTTTGATTATAAATAGTGATTTGAAGTGTATGCTAATACGAACGTTGCGAATCATGAGATCGTAGTTTGGACGCCTTGATTTCTTGCCCGTAAAGTATTTTCAGGCAATGAAGTCTATCGTTGGTCATGATCACGGGTTAGTTATTTACGTCGTGGATTTGGTCATGAGTAGTGTAGCTATTCCCCACCTAAAATACGAAAATGTGTATGTCCTGATAGTGATAGTGTGAGATTCCACATTGATTGGAGAGGAGAACAAAGCATTCCTTATAGGGTGTGGAAATCTTTCCCTGGTAGACGCGTTTTAAAGCTTTGAAGGGAAGCTTGGAAGGGAAGGCCCAAAGAAGACAATATCTAGCGGTGGGTTTGGGCTGTTACAAATGGTATTAGAGCCAAATACCGGGTAGTGTGCCGGCGAGGACCTAGGCTCCCAAGGGGGGTGGATTGCGAGATCTCACATCAGTTGGAGAGGGAAACGAAACATTTTTTATAAGAGTGTGGAAACCTCTCCCTAACAAACGTGTCTTAATAACTTTGAGGGAAAGCCCAAAGAGAACAATATATGCTAGCAGTAGGCTTGGGCTGTTACAAAAGGTATCAGAGTCAGTCACCGGACGGTGCGAGGCACTGTCGAAGTAGAGCTCTTGGGCTGTTACAAAAGGTATCAGAGTCAGTCACCGGACGGTGCGAGGCACTGTCGAAGTAGAGCTAGACCCTTTACATAGTAGATGCGTTTTAAAACTGTGAGGTTGACAGCAATACGTAATGGGCCAAAGCGGACAATATCTACTGATGGTAGGCTTTGGCTCTCACAAATAGTGTACCATGGATCTTCCATAATTAAAAGGTTAGGATATTAGTAGAACCATCGAGTTCGGTTCATCGCTCTATCTTACGAAAGAACTGCTCCCATATAAGCCAGTATTTTCCAACTTTCGGATGAATGCATGACTCAGTAACCTTCATTTGACAAGAAACCCCTACTGGGTTTGATTTCTTTACTTGCAAGTGACTTCTGCTTGAGATTCACATTGTTCTTTCTTTGTGCTTGAAGGTTCATTGTTATTTGTGATCTGTCTGGATCATCTTGGAAGTTAGACTTTTCGTTCTCGTTATCGTTATCGTTATGATGTGATATCTCGACAAGCATCAGTACAATTCTAACCTTCACTTTCACCTCACTGCAGACATGCTGGGGAAGTACGTCTGATTCTCCACTTTGCAAATGCCAAAGTAAGTAGCTATCATTACTATTTGTATAAGATTCATGAGCAAAGAGATGACCTATTTGTTTCAATTGCAGAGACCATCATCAAGTTTTGCGCCCTCAGCACCTCCATTTCAAGCACCTGCTCCACCCCAAGTTCCCGTGTACACAACGATGCCACCGACACACCCAACAGCCTACGCTCATCCTACTCCTACACCATATGCATCATATCAATCTCCCTATCCTTCTTACCCACCCAGCTCAGTAGCATATCAAACATCCATGTATTCCTCCCCATATCCATCTGGGTATCCTCCCACATCGTACCCGCCGCCTCCCTCGGCTTATCCTCCCAATCCTTACCCGCCACATCCACAAGCCTCATCCGTATATCCTCCAAGTAGGTTTTTACGTCAAATCCAATGCTTTAGAAGTTGTATTATATGAAATCACAATGCCATTAAAACTCGTTTCTATCTGTTGTTGCTCAGGTCCTTACCATGGACTTTATCCACCACCACCGTATTGAAATCTCAAGGTTGGCTCTGAATGATCTTTCCATAAGTTAATGGGGTTTGCTTCGTTTGTTTGGAACTTGACTGTAATGCATTGAGGTTGCTGTTCTTTTTTCGTTTCTATTCAAATTCAGCAACAATGATGAACAAATTTAAGTTCAAAGCCTATCCATGGAGTACTTGGATTCTACAGAAAAGCTAGGCAGATCGCATTTCTTTTTTAGGTGTGTTTGTTTGTTTGTTTTTTGTTTCTATTCAAATTCATCACAATGATCACGTTATTTACTTGTTCTCATCGACCAATACGAATCTTTTTAACATGTATATTGATTCCCTCATATACCATTTCTTTACTCGGCCTTAACGTTAAGGGATTATTTTTTCCTTGTTTTTTTAATATGACAAGCTGAGTCTTCCACCTTAAGAGAAGGAAAACATGTCAGATATTGTTGAACTATATGATGGTTGGGTTGTTGGGTTGTTTTTTTATAATTATTTTTAAAAAATCATATTTATCGACCATATAATCCTATTGAACTCAACTTTGGTTTTTTAAAAATTAAATTAAAAAAAAAAGTTTAATGTATTAATTAATTTATTTTTATTTAAAAAAAAAAACAAAAAATGAAGCATCTTAGAGAAAAAGCTCAAGCTGTTATGGAATATCTACGTACACAGAAAAAAGATCTTCATATCTAATACTTTTTTTTCTTTTTCCTTTTTAAGTCTCCAATCATAGTTCAATAAAAAAAATAATTTAGAAAAAAAACAATAAAAAATTATTTAAATAAAATAAAATAAAATTTTATTGTTGGGAGATTATTTGATTTTGTTATTATTAACAATTATATATATATATATTAAATATTGCAATTTGTATATAGTTCATTTTTCGTTAATTTAATCATTAATTTTAACAAATTTTGAGTATTTTAATATGAAATTAATTTAAGGATTCATTAACATGTTAAAAGTTTAAATTTCAATTATTAGTTATTTATTAATATCAAAATTAATATGAGGACCAAAATTTTATTTCTTTCCATAAAATTTAAACTCTTTTAAACCGAAATTATAATTTTTCCCTTTTGAGAAATTAAAAAAAAAAAAAAAAAAAAAAAAAAAAAAAAAAAAAAAAAAAAAAAAAAAAAAAAAAAAAAAAAAAAAAAAAAAACCCAAAGATGGTGCCACGTTGTGACTTTCCCTGGCTACTTCTGGAGGTGGACGTAAAAGTCACCCTGTTTGCGCTTCCTGACTTCCCCACTCGCCTTTGCTTCGCGTGTACTACACTCCTTCTCCTCCCTCCAATTTTTTTTTTAAGAACTTCAAATTTTAAATCGATTAGATTAATTTCGAATTGGGTTGAGTTAGTTTGTTTGTAAGTTCTTACTTATACACGTTACATTAATAACTAAAATCTCATAAATTTTAAATATTAGACGTTTACAAGTCACAATCCATCACTAAAATCGCTAATAAACGTTAAATATTCTTGATATTTTAAAAAATAAGATAGAATAGAGTTGGATTATAACTCTATTCCCAAGTCCCCACAAAAAAATGTCAACCTTCAATGCGAAGGAAGTTTTCAATTTTTCAAAAATTCAACCCAACAAAAAAAAAAAAAAAATCTAACCCAATCCTATATTTATGGTTTGAGTTAGGTAGTGTGAGTTTAATCACGATATTGAGTCCTATGAACACTCTGGAAACCTATACTCTTGTTCGAGATGCAAACAACATCTTGCAATAGTTAGGTAAGATCTATGATATCGAGATAAAGCTAAAATGATTGTGAAACAAAGTTGGCCCTTTTAATTTTCTTTTTCTTGTATATTATATGATATGATAATATACTTATTTAAACCAAGTTACTTGAAGATCTAGGTAGAATCATAGACTTAAAATTTTGGTTGGTTTCTTTTGTCTTTTCCACATTTTGAATTGAAGAGGAGGCTAAAAAGACAACCTTGTCACCCATTGTGCTAAGAACTCATCCCATCTCTCTCCCCTGTTCTTCCTCCATCCCATCCCTCAAAACAACAACAACAACAACCAGACGAAAAGAAAGCAAAGAAATGGCTCAAATGGGGTTTCTCTTCTTCTCCCTGTAAGATGGCTCTGCACCCAAATAAACACAGAATCAAACTCCACCATAGCTCGCTCTTCTTCCTGGACTTCCTCTACTGCACTGAAGAACAACAGCTTGAAACAGAGGATAACAATGGCGGCGGCTCCAACAACTTCCCTCTTTGGGAAGAGACGACCCATTTCCTTGTTTGTGAAGACGAGGAGCTCGATCGTTTGCTGTCCAAAGAACAGGACCAGAATCTTCAATACGGCGCTGTTCTGGAGAACTTGGTTCAAACAGAGGGTGCTCTGTTTTTGGCTAGAACAGAGGCTGTCGAATGGTTGCTTAAAGTTAATGCCTTTTATGGCTTCTCCTCTCTCACAGCTCTCTTAGCCATTAACTACCTTGATAGAGTCCTCACCGGCCGCCATTTTCAAAGAGATAAGCCATGGATGCTTCAGCTTCTTGCCGTAACTTGCATTTCTTTAGCTGCCAAAGTCGAAGAAGTTCGTGTCCCTGTTCTTCAAGATCTCCAGGTAAAAACAAAAACCCACGAAAATAAATCGATTTTCTCAAGAACCCATCAAACCAAATCGATTTTGAAACAAACCCATTTGATAATTTCTGCAGGTGGAAGATTCAAAGTTCATTTTCGAAGCGAAAACGATACAGAGAATGGAGCTTTTGGTGCTCAGTGCTCTTCAATGGAAGATGCACGCAGTGACCCCTGTTTCATTTCTTGGCATTATAACAAAAGGGCTTGGATTGAAGAAGAATCAGTGCTTTCAGAAAGAGTTTCTGATACGCTTTGAGCGTATTCTCCTCTGTCTCGTCACTGGTAAACCAAATCCGCCATTTTTGTCAATGTAAAAAAGCTCGTTTTTCTGGGTTTTGGAGTTAATCTTAGTTATTTGAAGCTCTGTTTTTGTTTTGGTGAGGTTTAACAGATTCAAGATCGGTGGGGTTTCTTCCTTCTGTGATGGCGGTATCGGCAATGGTGAGCGTTGTTGAAGAGATGGGGAGCTGTAAGCCATTGGAGGAGTTTCAGGATCAGATTCTTAATGCCCTCAAAATAAACAAGGTTTCTATTTTTACCCCATTTTTATGCTTTTTTTTTTTTTTATTTCAAACATTTAAGAACTTTGTCCCATGTTATTTTAGAAGTTTATAAGTAATTATCTAGTAATTGAGAAACAATTAATATGAAAAATTTACTAAAAACAGTAAAAAATAATTTAGATTTGTTTGATTTTGATTGTTTAATTTTTATATTAAAAAGTAAGTATTTTGTTTCAAAAATTTGAAAATGTATTTTTGTCATTCACTTTTACAAAGTAATAGTTTTTTACTTTTTGCTATTATTTTTTTGTCATCATATGTCTATTTAAATTATTTAAAAAATTCTACTCATTTATTATAGATGTTATACCGTCGGGTTGGGTTGTGTTGAATTGTAACCTCATTTTCATGTTTGTTAGGTTAAGTCGGTTGACCTAATAAAAATATATCAAACTCAAAAAATTCAGCTTAAAACTTAAAGTTAGTAACCTATGAGCATGAGGTTTGATTTGATGAACACAGGGAAGAGTGAAGGAGTGCTGCAAGGTGATAATGGAGGTATCAAAAGGGCAGGCCAAAGCAAAGGTATCAGGGAAGAGGAAGCATGTGGAGGAGGAGGTAGCAGAAGCAGAATCAGAAGGCGAAGCAGGGAGCCCAAATGGAGTAATAGAGGCCAATTTCAGCTGTGGAAGCTCCAACCATTCGTGGGGCATGGGGTCGCCTCTGTCACCATACACGCCTTCTTCTTCCAAAAGAATCAGACCCACTCCATGAACCAACGTATTAATCATGCCTTTCCCTCTCTCTCTTTCTTCCCACCCTATACTCCATTTCATCGTCTTCTTCCTCTAATATACGTGTTAAACTTTTGTTGACGTATCGACGTTTTCACGTGTTCATTAGTGACATTCATAATTATTCTCAACATGAGTTTCGTTTAACCGTAATTGACATGTACTCATTCTCTTGAAGTTAGATGTAAGACTCAAAGTCTACCACTACCAGATATTGTTCTTTTCGAGCTTTCCCTTTTGTATTTTCTTTCAGGTTTTTAGATTTTATATGATAGGGAGAGATTTTCACACCGCCTTCAAGGTTCAGAGTTCTCGCTAGCACTCGTTCCCTTCCCCAATCGATATGGGACCTCCCATCCTTCCCTTCAGAGTCCAGTGTCCTTGCTAGCACACCACCTCATGTCCACCCCCTTCGAGGTTTAGTCTCCTCACTGGAACATCGCTCGGTGTCAGCTTCTAATGCCATTTCTCGATATGAGCATGTCATCCTTGCATAAGGGTCCATCCATCTTAAGATATTTCTTTTGTTCAAAAGGTCTAAAGTTTGACGAGACCGGAATTAGATTGGCGTAGGAGACAGAAAAAGAGAAAGCAAGAAGAAAAGGAAACCCCATGATCTAATATCTATAGCCTTTGTCTCTCCTTTGCATGTTCTATAATCTTCTGTCCTTTGACTTAGTCTCACAATGAAATGATTTAAACTTCAAATCCCACATTCTAAATATTTCCCTCTTTCTTTGTGTCTCTCTTCCTCTTTTTCTCTTTGCTCCCTCTCACACAGCCTGTAAAGTTCAAAGGACACCATATGGACCATTTTCCTTTCTATTCTCTCTCTCTAAAACTCATCTAATTTCGAACCCGGGAAAGAGAAACTCAATCCATAGGCACAGTCTAAGCCCACTGCTTTTAGATATTGTCTGTTTCGAGCTTCCCCTCAAGGTGTTCAAAACGCATATGCTAGGGAGAGCTTTCCACCCTTATAAACAATGTTTCGTTCCTCTCTCCAATCGATGTGGGATCTCATAATCCACTCTTTTTCAAGGTCCTTCTCTCTAATTGACATGGGATCTCATATTTAATCTACATGATTGAAATAGGATACGAGAACGAGATAGAGAAGGCTTCCTATGAACATCTCTACCATCAACTTAAACTTTGAGTTGATTCATGGTTATATATCTCGAAACCCATGCGTTTAAACTTTCTATAACGTCATTTCTTCTTTACCGTGTTGAAATATCGGTATCATATAAGCGGTAAAAAAAGTAAATGTGCGTGTGGAGTACAATAATTTAAAAAAGGATAGCTAAGATTTTGACAAAATGAGGTGAAAAAAGTGGGAAGGAAAAAGGAAGATGAAAGAAAC